ACTCTCTGTGCTCCGAGGTCGCGAGCCAACCTTAGCCCTACTAGAAGCGCTTCATATTCCGCCTGGTTGTTGGTCACCTTGAAGCCAAACTTGAGAGATTGTTCTATGGTGACCTTATTCGGTCCCTCCAAGATAATACCTGCGCCACCACCCTTAGAGTTGGAGGACCCATCAACATGTAAAGTCCATACCTGTTGTTCCATAGTCGAGGTTGGGGTGAGTTCGGCCACGAAATCTGCCAGGCATTGAGCTTTCAAGGGGCCGCGGCTTTCATACTGGATGTCGAACTCGGATAGTTCTACTAACCATGCGATCATGCGCCCGACGAGCTCTGATTTTCTCAAAATCTGCTTGATTGGGTAGTCAGTTTTGACGACCACCTGGTGGCTCTGAAAATAGGGTCGGAGGCGCCGAGCTGCGGTGATGAGTGCTGGCCGTGAGATCCAAAGAGCTTTGGGAGGGAACCATCACAAACATAGAGTGCCAAACACATTGGGAGGAAACTAACCAAGTTTTCTCATTGTGAAGGGAACACCAAATTGGAGCTTGAAGAATTTTCTTGTTTTGTTTCTTTACTCTTTCTTTTGTGCCAATTTTGTGTTGTTTTGATTGGGCCACTTGTGTCTTGGTCCTTATTCATTCAATTGGGTTGTAAATTGGCCTCTTAAATTAATTATTTTTTAGGAGTAGTTTCGTTTAGTACTTGTGGAAGTGTCTTGAAAACACACAAGGTCACTTCAAGCTTCCACCCTAGGACTTCGGACTAGTATATGCTTTATTTCTTTCCTTGAATTCTCTTAGTTGTTAGCTTAATTCCTTAGGTTGTTGTATGTTCGTTAGAGGCTTCCAAATTTTCCTACCAGGGGTCCGAACACACACTCACTCTTGTGCTAAAATTGTTTTTGTGAGAAAAGTGAAAAGGGGCTTAGTGATTTCTACTTGAAAAGGCTTGGTTTTTAAGAGACTCTTTGTAGTCCACCTCCCTTGATAGTTCACTTTGTGCACTTAGGCCTCCTATCACTACTCTTGCACTCAAAAGCTTTTGTGAAAACCTTTTATCACTCACTCTTTGTGAAAATATTTTCAAGAACCTCTTTGTGAAAACCTTTCTTGATCAAAGATGAGTGATCATTCAAGTGTAAGGGGTCAAAATACTCATAGTAGTAGACATAGTCTTAGGGATGAACTTCGAGAACTTAGGGAATACATAAAAAGAAAAGAAGAAGAAAATGAAAGAAGAAGGAATCACCCCCCTCTTGGATTGTGCCATTCTTTTCTAACAATTTATTCATGACATCTCTATAACTTATCATGATATCTAAATTTCTCATATAGAGGACACCCATATATAAATTTCTCATGATATGTAACTCATATCATAAATGACTATAACTTTTAATAGATAAACTGAAAAAGTTTACACCACTAATATCCCAAAGGTAACATTCAGTATATGAATACACATTTAATTAAGATAATCAAATGACACTCAATTGTCACTAGCTATCTCTTATGTAATTTCATATAGATCAACATATTACCTCAAAAGAAAATAAAATAAAAAATCATCAATTATATAGTAACAACAACAACAACAACAATAAATAAGAAATCTAGAAACCAATATTTCCAACATATAGAGCATAAATGCTCATCACCACATAAATTAATGTACATACACTAAGGCCGTCATATTTGTTTATATTGGTTCTAGGTGAATCTCATCTTTTTTTTTTAGAGAATTAGTATCATACTAATAATTAGTCATTCTCAGTACAAAGAAATTCTCAAATAATAATTGCCTACATAATTGTTCAAATGATACTTCACAATTTATTCTTTCCACCATTTCATATCACCTTGTATGTGTATATCAAATTGTTTAAAATTAAACAACAATTTGAAGGTAATCAAAGTGTTAATATTTTACTACATTTTGAAATTTATATATTACATCAAAATTTGTTTTATAAAAATAAGTTATTAAATCATCTTGGATTAATTTAAAATTTTATACAAATGATCTAGAAGTAAGGAACTTTCAATCTAACTATAAGTTTTAAAAAATTCACATTTAATTAAAAGTTATTGAGTGGTGTAATAGTTAGTAAAGTTGCATTGGTATCATTTGAACCCTTATTATAAAACTTGTATCAAAATACATGTTTGCTTAACATGATATCAACCATAATAGCAAAATAAAAAATGTATTATTATCCATAAATTTTTAAAGAGGATTAATAATTAATTTTTGTATTCACAAACCTAAAATTTGACCTCGACTTATCTTTAATAATTAATGTTTGTGTGTGTGTATGTTTAATATGTAGAATATTATAAAACTTTTATTAAAGTACTTATTTGGATGATATGAATCAAATAAAAAAATATTTTATGTGTAAATTTTTAAAAAGGATTGATAATTGATTTCATAGTCACAACTACAATTTGACCATGATTTATTTTTAGTATAAGTCATTTTCAGACCCTTGAGTATCAATTAGTTAAGAGATTTTTAAAGTTAGTTTATAATATGGTCTAGTTGGTACTAAATTTTATTAAACATATGTTAAAAACAAAAAAGAAAACAAATGTTACTAAAAGAGATTTAGTAGTCCCAAGTTTTACATGGGACATAATATAGAGATGTCTAATAAGATAAATTTGATGGTCTATTCCACACAAATACACACATACACATATATATATATATATATATATATATATATATATATTAGATAAATACTTTGATAATTTCACTAAGCATTATCTCTTATTTGTTTTAGCTTAGTAGGTCATTATTTTTCTTGTAACTACATGTAATCATAATTTTCTCCTCTCCTAATTATATTTTCACATAACTATCATAGTTTGTAAATCTTTTTGTAACACTTATATTTTAAGTTTTTTATTTTTAGTTAAAATATACACTAGATAAAATTGGTAACATGTGTAACTAAAATACCCATATTTTAATAAGTGTGAACAATTAAAAAAAGGTTTAAAATGTGATTTTGCCAAGGTAAGCAACATGAAACAACTAACTTTTAAAATGACTAAAATACCACAACTTTAATACCAATATGAAAAATAAACTTTTGTCACAAAATGTTATTGAAACCATATTCTTGTGAATGTCTTAACTAAGAATTATAAGCATGTCCACCAAGAATTTTTTTTTTATTTATCTTAGTGACTTTATTTTCTTGCAATTGAATTTTTTTTTTTTGGTAAATATGATTTCTAAATCTTATAATTATTCTGATGATTACTTTTGTAATTGATATATTTAAAATTTAACTATCTCATGATTAACAATCTCTCATTTTGTAGTTAATATTTAACTATCAAATTAAACATGTGCTTTATATTTTTGCAACTGGCGTATTTTTATTTTTTATTTTTTATTTTTTATTTTTTTATAAGATACACAATATAAAAATGAAAGTTGAAATAGTACAAAAATTAAAGATAATAAGTGAAATATTTTTCTATTTAAACTCAGTATGTATTTCATTAATTATTTATGAAATTTTATCTTTTAAAATTTAAATATACACTACACATAATCTTTTAAATATTTTTCAGTTTAGTTTTTTTTTTTTATTTTCTCCTAATAAAATTATCTTTCATGTAAAAGAATTTACAAATTTTGTAATTATTCTATTATTTTTTGTAACTAACATATTTAAAATTTCTAATTATAGCTTTTTAGATAATTTGATAAAGTTAAAAAAAAATCTTTATTTTTACGAGTTAAAGTTTAGAGTTTAAGATTTATGATTTTAAGGATAAGGTTTTGGGGTTTAAGATTTTATTGTTTAGGCTTTAAAGTTTAGTTTAGTGACTTAATTTCTTTTAAAAGAATTATCTTTTGGTGTGAAATGATTTATAAATCTTGTAATTTTTTCTAGTGATTATTTTGGAAATAAAATTTAAAATTTTAGATAAATTAATAAATTAAAAAAATATATTATAAAATTATCTTCCAGTAAAATAGATTTGCTAATCTAGTAATTATTCTAATGATTTTTTTATAACTGATATATTTAAAATTAACTGCATTATCTTGTGGTGATCACGATCTTCACCTTTCCTATTTATCTTTTCCTATAATTATCATATTTTGCAAATCTTTTTGCAGCAATTATACTTTACTTTTTTTCAGTTAAAATTTACGCCAGATAAAATTGGTAACATGTGACTAAAATACCCCATATTTTAACAAGTGTGAATAGTTAAAAATGTGGTTTTCTTAGTCTAAGCAACATGAAATAACTAACTTTTGAAATCATTAAAACACCACCACTCACTACAATAAATGAGCTAAATAGTGGAGGTTATTTTTAACGTTTAGTGGAGGTTTTTACCCTTTGCAAAATAAATTGCAGAGGTTTCCAAAAACCTCCGCAGTTACATTCGCTGCAAGCAATTAGCAGTGTTTTTTAGAAACCTCTGGTACTGTGAGCATTTAGTGCGGTTTTGTTAAGGAGGTTTTAAACCTACACTAACAGTGGAGGTTTTTTAAAGGAGGTTTCAAAGCTTTGCTAACTACAGAGGTTTTTTAATGGAGGTTTTAAAGTAAATTAACTACAATAATCATTAATCAATATATTTTTGTGGAGTTTCTAATCCTCCCTATTTTCCTGTGTATAATAGTTTTTATACTCCTTTTAATTGCATAATCTACATGTATTACAATTTCTCATTTTCACTTGTGATATTTATAAGAAACTTAATAAAAAAATACACATAAAATGGATGAAGAAATTCCATTGCTAATAGCCAAAATACCAATATATAGTTCAAAGATTTACAATTCAAACTTCTATTATAAATCCAAGTACAACATAAAATCCATAACATTTTCAAATTAGCCTTATACTAAACTCTAAATCCAAAATACATTATAAGCAATTTAAGGGTTGCTAGCACCAGATGATCCTCTTGCATCCAAAGGTGTATTAGGAACAATTGAAGCATCGTTTGGCTGAAATAATAAAAGCAAAATAACTTAGTTAAGAAAAATATATATCACATATATTAAATCATAATGACAATTCTAAACACCTATGACCAGATCAATCAGGGACCAAAACAAACCAGCTAATTAATGCAACCAACAACATAACCCACCCACAATCAAAACTAGAACTATGAATCAACAACTCCATCAAGCCAAAACCATAATAGCAACACCAAACTAAAGATGTATAGCAGCCAACTAGTTCCTAACCCAGTCCACTCAAGCCCTAGAAAAACAAAACTAGAACTAAACTAACAAAACATCTAGCCAAACCAAAAATTGTAGTAGAAATCATGTTGCAAACCATGCAACCAAAGATTATGAAACAACAACATAACTACCCAAACTAGAAATTGAGTAGATATCATGCTACAAACCATGCAACTAAAGACCATGAACCAACAAAACAACCATTTTAACCAGAAACTACAGTAGAAATCATGTTGTAAACCATGCAACCAAAGAGTATGAACCAACAAAACAGCCACCTATAGCAAAAATTGCAACAGAAATCATGCTACAAACCATGTAGCCAAATACTAAAATATGTGTATTGCTAGTTTTGGCATAAAGATACCACACATACTATAAAAACTAATGGAACCAATAAAAAATTACCTCTAAATGCAACAATATACCAGGTATTTAGAATAACAACCAATGGAACCAACAGTGTACCAGAAATGCAACAATATAAGTCTATCAATGCAACAGAACTGCCAAAAACCAAAGATATAATTAGAACCAAATAATTTAAAATAAATATAACTAAGCATTGATCTTTGATAACAAAACAGAGCAAGTTTAATACCCTGTCTAGAAAATGCAACAATATAAGTCAATGAGGATGATAAATAAAGATAATTGATCTTTACTGTGTATCTAAAAGCTGAGAAATCAAAAACAAAATTAACATTATAACAATGTATCTATCTTTTTATCTAAGAACCTGATGCTATGTTGCCACGTTGTACTAATTGCCTAAATAATAAGAGGAATCAAATCTTATTATGCAGATTCTAATGTGCAAAAGCTTTCATAATTTATTGGAATATAGCATAGTTATTGAAAAGAATATTTTCACATGATATTATTATAACAGTTATTGATGACATCTATATATGGGATAGAGCATGATGAGGTTCCACTTGTGAATCCTCAAGAACACCTTCAATGATTCTCAGATTCCTTGGAGAGATGTCAAGGAAGAAGACTCCTAGAAGCACCAATGTGACTTATGCTTGCTCAAGCTAAGTCCGGAAGAAGAAGAAGTATCCTAGCTCTACAAAGAGAGGAGCTCAAGGAGGGTAGAGTTAGGATAGAATGACTTTCGGAGGGAGAGAGTTCTAATGTGAGAATTCTCATGCATATATCCAAAAGTGAGTACAAGTCTCGGTCACTTTGAATATATTGGGAATAATTAGGTTAAAGGAACCATGGGTTAGCCTAAGGTTAAGTGAAACCATGGTATGGTTTACTTAACCTTAGGCGCCCAAAATTTGAATTCAAAATTCAAATTTTGGAGCCAAACCCGGAACCACACCATGTGCACCTCATTTGGAATGTGATTTAGCTTCCATTTGAGTTGCATTTCGGTCACACCATGTGCATGTGTTGCACATGGCCGAAATGCATTCCAAATGTAAGGCTAATTACATTCTAATGCAAATACACATGCAACCCTAAATAAACCCTAAATTCAAATGACCATTAAATGAAAAACCTAATCTAAATGGCCGGAGATACAAGGCCTTAAGGCCCAACCCTACACTACTCCTACTCTACTTGGGCTTGAGTCAAAGCCCAACTAAACAATGCAATTGGCTTTCCTTGAGCTTGGGCCCACTCCTCTTGGATCCTCTTTGCCATAGCCCTAGTAGTTGGGCCCTTGGACCATGGGCCTCCTCCATCAGAGCAATAACATTATATAATTACCAGCAGCACATGTGCATAAACTTTCTTTTTATACGAACTTAAAAGGGAATCATTTGAAATCAGAGTTTATATAATTAATTGTTATTAATTAGCTAACTAATATACACGTCTTCTCATATGTATAATCATGATTTATATGCATCATGCATCTTTGGCAAAATGGTTGCACGCGGACACATAACATCAATGTAAAATTTTGAGGCTATAGTTAAGGAAAATAATTCCACATGAACAAAATTTGAAGCAAAGTTTTAAAGTTAGAAAAATGAATAAACCAAAGCAACCATATTATATATGTATTTCTACTTGGCGTGAGTTTCACATAGTTTTTATGTGAGAATATGGAGTTAGATTAGCCTAGGGAACGAATTCTCTGAGTAAATTAATCTCTTGTAGAAGACAATCTTTCTTAGAAGAAGATGAGAAATTATATGCAAGTGTCTCTCTTAATCAAAATTTGAATCATAATACATCATTTTATTGAGATTACTATAATTCTTTCTTCATCTAAACACTGTTAATACACTTTACCTTTTACTAATGTATCATATCACCATCATTCTAGTGTTTTCTTAGTTTATGTAAAAATTGTAGTCTAAAAGCTCAATTGCTTTTGTAGTTTTTTTGCTTGTGAAATAACAAGTTATGCATTTCAAACAGATGCATGATGGATGCCAATGGAGGAAATGTGGACAGAAAATAGCAAAAGGAAATCCATGTCTAAGAGCATACTATTGTCGCACACTTGCTCTAGCATGCTCGATTAGGAAACATATATGCATCAATATGTTTAAGATAAAAAAAATATTTGAGATAAAAAAAAATATTTGATATTAACTTTTCAACTAGTGCTCGTCAGACAATAAAATAGAAGGCAAAACAATTTCAACTTCATATTTAAACTAAAATTAACCTAAGTACATAATTTTTCATAGAAGTCTTCTCACTTAACTTTTCCAAACACTAACATGCACAAGGGGACTTCCAAAAATTGGCACCACTGTTCCTATTGAAAAACTCACATCAATCCATTCAGTATGCGAAACCAAATTCAAGAACATTTTTACCAAAAATGCTTCAAGAACCAAGACGCTTTGGCAGAAATACTAACCAAAGCAATAAGCACGAACACGTCTTTGTTCTGTTATAGCCACTGTAGTTTCACCTGTAAGGGGGACAAGGATCAAGTAGTGAGAATAAGGGTTACAGAAAATTTTTCAGTTTTGGATTGAGCCCCTGAAACTTGTAACGCCATAGAAATAGCGAGCTACTTGATAGATATACTTTATATTATATATATGTATGTATATATGTGTATGTTGTTTATTTGGATTTGGATTGGATTTGGAAGTGTGGATTTGAAATGTACTTATCTTTGTGTATGTTGTATAATTATGTGGTTTTGATTAGTTTTTTGGACATAGTAGTGATTTTGTAGTATGAGATGAGAGGTTTATATAGTCATGTGTATCATAAATGTGGTGAATGATGCATTGTATACCATTATACTGAATTGGTACTAAGAGGGAAGAAGATTGATCACCTTCCTTCTTATCTTAGTTAAGTGAAGTATTATGGCTTGCAACTCATTATTCCAAGCATATGTATATGAAAGTGATGTTTGTTTGTGTGTTGATACATGTTGCATTTCAAATGGTGGTGAGTTGTGAGTATTGCATGGAAAGGAATAAGATGGGTATAGGAGATTAAAGGATAGGAACATAAGATAAATCTGGTCTTTTTGAGTGAATTTGAGGTTGTTTTAGAGCTTAGGGAGTTGAAATACTTCAAGGAATAGAATGTTTGAGGTGAATAGGTGCTAAGGGTGAAATTTGGAAATTTTGGAAAATGGCTATATATAGGGACTTAGGACCGGAGGGTCTCATTTGTTAAACAGAGACTGTTTCTAGAGAAAGGAAGTAGAGAGAGAGGCTCTGGTCTGGAGGGAAGCTGAGTACACATTTGGAAAGCTTATCAAGTTAGGATCAATCTTCACAACTAGAGTTTCAAGAGATTTAGCCTTTAAAACCTTGAAAAGGGGGATTAAAGTTTGAGTTGGGATTTGAGGATCTAAAAGAATCTTGCATTTATGAAGTTTCTGAGGTAAGGGTAGTACTTATAAGGCTTAATCTAGTATATTTGGGTTTGAAATATCAAATTGATTCCATGTTTTAGGCATGATTGAGGCTGGATTGAGTGGAAAGGGTTTTGGTAGGGTTTCCCTATGATTTCCATAGATTAATGGTTAATACTTGATTCTATTTCTTAAAATGTTGTTTTTGGATATTGTTTATGCTTTATAATGGTTTGAACTCATGTAATTTGGATTGGATTCATGATTGGAAGGAATTTTCGAGGTTTTCGGGGGTTTATGGTTGTCATGAGTCAGGCGCAGTTCTTGGTGCCGGGAGTGAATTTATCAGGGACCACCATTGCCGAATCATGCCAGGCGCAAGGCTAGTCACGCTGGGTGCAATTTGAAATGGGAATCCCTGGGTGAATCACGCCGGGCGTGGGGAGAACCATTTCGGGCGCACTATCATACGTGGTCCTTGTGTTTTTGTTACTGATATTGTGCCGAGCATGATCTGAGCACGCTGGGCATGGAGACTCATTGGGAGTCTCTATCTGTAATTACACCAGGCGTAGGATAATTGCGCCGGGCGCTGAGACCTCTGTAGGTCTCTGTTTAAGTTTTGCGCCGGGCGGGATATGAGTGCGCCAGGTGTGAGTATCTTGGTCTTTAAGTCTTCATGAAAGTTGTAGCCTTGGATGTTATCTTTCCAATGGCGTTGGAATCACCCAAAAAGGAGGTCTAAAACTTCAGATATGACTGTTTTAGTGAACAGGGGTCAAGCTGCCAGCATTGGTTATAGCTGTTACGGTTTTTATAATTTTTAACAAAGTAGATGATGGAATTAGGACTTGATATCTTCATAAGAGTTGTAGGAAATCTTCTTATATTTAATATGAGATAAGTATGAGCATGATAGGAGTAGTATAACTGCTGATATACTGTTTTATGTGAAGGTTGCCATTTCACAAGGAGTGATTTAGTTAAGTTGGCATGATTATGGAAACGTTTCTATGTAATTATGTAATATGCTATGTGTGTTTGGTTTGTTAAGCTAATAGGACTTAGAGGAGTAAGGATATGGTATGGATTGGGAGATCTCTTGGTGAGATCAGGATATAATCTTTGGGAAAATATGGAATTTGGGAGTCCCATGGTGAGGATTCCAATATGGAAATTTTCCAAAGATTATATAATAAACCACTTCAGATGTTAGGTGGATTCTGAATTACTCTTCTAAGTATTCTATTTGCTACCGGTATGAGGGTAAAGCCGAGTAATACCAATGGATGAAGTGGCCAACCCTCAAGAAACCAAAGTGATAGAATCTCAAGTTGATGACTTGTTGAAGAAGGGATGGGTTCAAAAGATCCTTAGCCCTTGTGTCGTCCCCGTTCTTTTGGTGCCCAAGAAAGATGGCAAATGGAGGATATGCACGGATTATAGAGCCATCAATAACATCACCATAAAATATAGGGACCCAATCCCTAGGCTAGATGATATGTTAGATGAGCTACATGGGGCCATCATATTCTCCAAAATTGATCTTAAGAGTGGTTATCACCAAATTAGAATCAAAGAGGGTGATGAATGGAAAAACTCTTTTAAAACCAAGTTTGGTTTGTATGAATGGTTAGTGATGCCTTTTGG